GAAAGTCTGGTTTAGAACTGATTTTACTGCATTTTCTTATTTTCCTTATCTACCTTTTTGCTTGTTTTGTCAAAATACATCCTAAACCTGCCATCAGTACCTAACTGTGTTTCCATTTAAATCATTAGGTCACCTACACTTAAATGATCACATTCAGGTTCAAAACACTTAATTCCAGGAGGTTTGTTTTGACAAGATCACCAACAGAGGTCAAATTTAGTGCACTGAGCATACTGGTATCTCAGACCTTGTTAAGTCACCATCTCTGCCATAAGCTGTATTTCATGTGCTATACATATAGCTTTTCATGCCATATGTAATACCATGAAAAGATATTGTGCCTATAAAACTAACCCAATGCCTATGAAACCTCATTATAGAAAATGTTACAACTAGGATTAGCGCTATTATGTACTTACATACCAGTTGATATTGCTCCTCTTCCAAACATATCCCATGGCAGACAGTCCTTTTCCTTCCCCCAAGCAGAGACAGAGAGAGGGGCAGGAGCAGGGTTGTAACACTCTTTTTTTTCCAGTCCTCAGGTCACATTTTACTTAAAGTACAGAACAATCAAGAAGCCCAAAGACTGCATTGAGTGATGTCAACTGCGGAGCTCTTGGCTTCCATCTTCACTTTGGGAGGCACACATTGAGCTGCATCATTCCCACTTCCTCTGCTTTTAGACTGCAAAAAGTATTTCTCAACAGGACTTAAAAATCAGCCATTTAGATGAAGACAAAGAAGGTGAGTAGAGGAAGAAGGCAAGAGGACAAAACACCTTCTAGATTTCAGACTGAAAAGAAAGATCTAGATTTAGTCAATTAGAGTTTTCAGAAGAATTGGGCTCTGAGTGTAAGAGTTCATGGTTTGTGGCAGTGAGGACCATATGGTAGTTCCCTTTTTGGCTGTTTAGCAAGACTTAATTTTCAAGTACAGCTTAATTTTATTCATTGCCTTAATGTTTTTTTTTCAGGTTTTAATTTTCTGTCTGACATTAATCTTTCCCTAGTGTTTCATTTTCAGAGGTTTTTTTGGTTGGTTCGTTGTTTTTTTGTTTGTTTTAAGGAAGCTTTTTGGTCTGTGTTTTTTTACCTCTTCCAATTACCTTACAGGTAACAATTAAACCACTGCTAAGTAGAATGTTGTCAGGTTTTACATGCTGTACTGGCAATAGAGCATTCCCAAATCCTTCACTGAAGTTTACCTATCTTGAAAGCTTTTGGCTTCCACTAACAACATACTCATACAACTACCACAGACCTTCTGGCTCAATGAAACTGGTTGTTGGAAGAAATTAGACTACCAGTTATGGTAGCACAAGTTCAATCTCTGTGATGTTTGTTCAGCTGCTACAGAGGCAAATAAAAGCCAAATAAATTTGATTTGCACAGGCTGTATATTGCCATCTAACTGACAGACAGCATAGCTCTTCTCTAGAACAACTCACATGATCCATCAACTGTTTTCAAAATACTGCAGCAGGTCACCCCTTCCTAGGAAGAAAGCAAAGTTTCAGGAAAAAAAGGCTTTCCTGTGGATTTGTGAAAGATACACCATTAATGGTTCACAATGTCCACACAAATAAAAGTGTTTGTACTTCATATTCAATTTTTTTCGTGTCCCTAAAGTTTCATACATATAAATAAATATGTAAACATATGTACATAAACATGTAACCATATATGCATATATGTATATTTGTAAATATATCTATATATATAAACATAAGTGTATATGTCTATTTGTATATATTTAAATATATATATTTACATTATCTTCCCTTGTATCCTGTCCTAAGTTCATTTTCCTCCTTTGGAGTGGTAAGATGAACACATATGGTATTATAATGATATACAACTCATTAAAAACAAAACCAAAAACTCCTTGCAATTCAAAATCACTGCATGTGTAAATTAAGCAAGGCAAAAGTTACTTCAAGTTACTCCGGGTCTCACTATTTCCCAGCAATTCTCTGCATTCCCTTCAACGGGAGTTCTTGCACTTTCACGTTATGAAAGGCCCTATTTTGAAGTATTGATTCTTTTTAAAGCGATCTCATCTTTCCTGGAATGTGAGTTACATGTGTGAAAACAGGGTACATCGGCATACACAGCCATTGCAAAAGAGCAGTGTGTTCTCAGCTAAAGCCAATTTGGCATGTTAGAGGTTACTGAACTGGTAATGGTGTTTCACGATGGTGTCGTGAAAGGAATGACAAAGTTGTTACAAAAGAAAACCTCATGATGATGTGTGCCGTCTTCTCCCAGATGGCTGTTACTGGGAAGGCCTCAAGTGATTATTACTGAGCAGTTTGAGTTGACTTGTTCTGGTTTAGAGTTTGTGGAAATAAAGCAAGCCCTGAGGAAGGGGATGCAAAGAGAAGATTTGTGGTTAGGGACTTGCACAGTAACTCAGATCTGTAGGGTTCAGACAGTCCTATACAAATCACAAGCTAGGTGAATCCTTTACATCAGAAGAACTGAATGCCTTTAAAGAAAAAAAGCACTTTCAATGAATGCCTGTTGAAATTCAAATCTTAATTCATGCTAGCCATGCTTGGGTCCCTTTTAGATTCTCTTTCTGTGACCATTGAAGTAAGCAATCATTGTTTGTAGAAACCAAAATTTAAGTACACATCTTCCATATTCATATCAGATAGGATATAAGTTTTCTATGGAATGGGAAACTGATTGAAATGGCAAGGGGTAGAAGGGGAAATATTCCAGTAAAATCTTATTGGGGCCCTGCAATAAGAGCAACTGAGCACCCACCAAAAGATAAATTATTCATATATAATAGGGGAAGCACATATGTAGCCATCCTATGTGACCCTGTGGAAAACAGAATACATATACTTTATATATATGCAAATATGTCCTTTATATTATAAATGTCTATACCTACATATGAAGCTGTATAAATGACATTGTCATAGGTTTACTACTTCTAAAAGACCAAGTGGGAATTTTTTTTTTCTTTCTACTGCATCATTATGAAAGAGGGATGTTTAACGAAGGAGAGGGAGGGTGGTTCTTTTAGCTGAGGTGATTGACACACACAAAAGAACTGGCTGCAGTCTGCATTCCAAACTGATGGCCCTCAGAAGACTGGGGGGGAGGTAATTTTTTTTTCTCCTGGGGAAACGGCAGGCACTTCACTTTTGCCCTGACTCAGGGAGGGGGGGGGTGTGAGGAGGGATTTTCAGTGGTTTGGTTTGGTTTTGGCCGGGTCATCTGGCTGCTTCTGGCCCCGGTTCACCTCCGTTTTTCTGCGCCCTGTTCTGCCCATGGCTCAGACCTTCTGGGATTTCATCAGAGAGACTTGACCAATCTGCAAAGAAACTTTTGGGGGAGTCCCTGTTGGAGCCAGCCACTGACAGCGAAAGTCTGTGGGAAGAGCCCCTTTTTCCCCTTTTCCTCTTCCCCTTCTCAGTGCAGGGGGAGAGCTCCATTTTGGCTTCTTCCGTGCACTGGGGCCCTTTAATAAAGGGCTGTTATCTTTTCTTTCTCCATACTTCCTCAATTGGAGCCTCAATTTCAGATTTACAATTGCTTAGAGGGAGGAGCTTGGTCTTCCTCATAACTCATCCTCCTTAGCAAAACACTTCAGTCACATTAAACTGAAACATACACATTCTGCAACTCTGCTATTTTAAAGGTGACCTGTAAACATTTCTTTGTTTAGTTTCTGGAGTTTTTTTCTCCTTGGAAAGAGGATTTCAAAGTGATTGTGGATTATCAAAAGCCTACTTCAATAAAAACCCAATATTTAAAATCAGTTCTACACATACATGACCAAGATAGTCAAGGTGAGCATAGAGGCCTGTAAAGACTTTAAAAATAGTTCCATATGCAATGCAAATATGGAATTAGCACCCCCAAAGGCAACTTCATGAACCAGCAAACAAAGTGGCGACTCATTTGAATGCAGAAAATGTCAGAGGAGACACCACAGCTCCAGCCTCATTATTCAAAAGTAAATAAGTCACATAACTGCTTGATACAGTGATGCCTATTTCCTTCTAGACATTCATCAGACATTTGTTCTTATTCTCAAACAAAAATCAGAGAATGATAAAGAAAACCAAAGAATAATAAAGCAGTAAACCATTTTCTTTATTCCTCTTTCTAATGTGGTGCAGAGTATGCAATCCCAGTGTCCTATGTTCTGTGTGACTGTGTCCACCCTCTGGACTGCTCAGTGTCTTGTCCTCTTTTCCTCCTGTCTAGTAACACAGGCAGCTCTGAGAGTCCCAGCAATGATGAGTTTGCACTCAGCCACACAAGCATAAGGAATAGTCTTGTTCTTTCTACCATTTTTTTTGCAAAATATCTCTTCTGAAGCAGCTCAAGGGTAGTGTGCTGGATAGGTACTCTATCGTCTACTCATGATGTACTTCCAAAACCAAGTCCTCTTTACCTTATCCAAGCATACGTGCACATCAAGCTGGAATGGTCAAGTGAGGGAGATCCATTTCCTTCTCACTGTTTCTATAGAGGAGGTGTCACACTGCTGAGAACAGCAGCAATGCTTCAACATAACAGATGACACATCTGTCCTCATGTTACTTTTCCTCAGGATTTTTGGTACTGGGTAAAGAATGAGGATTGTGCTGGCATTGCAAACTCTTTCTCAAGCAGAAAGAATTGCAATTGGCTTCTTCATTATCATGCAGAAATAAGCAGGAGAGGGTGATTATTTGACATACATATTCTGATGTTTGAGTCTGTGAGTTTATGAGCACTTTCATAGCCTGCTACTTCACGGGGAAGTAGGAAATGCCTGGCACTCCACAGGATGTTGAGCCCTTATTTACACTAATGTCAGCTTTTATCATTTAACATAACATTTATGCCTGTACAATCACAGATGAGATTTTCAAACCTGAAATTTTTTTACTGCGGATGAATTACTGTAATTACATCTCACTAAAGCAATACAACGTTCTTTCTTAGCTATGAAGAAAAAAGCTATAAAGAGAAAAGGTTTATCTGTACCTGAAAATGAATCAGACTCATGAATGCATTCCCTGGACTCAGTCAAATTCGGAAACATCACGTGTGGGCAGTGTTCATGACTAGGAAAAAGACAGTAAGTGGTGTAGATACCAGTCAGCCCTGCGTTTAACCAAGTAAATTACTAGTCTGGGAACTTATTACTCCTAACTTGGATGACCTGAACACAGTCATTAACACTTGAGAAAATGCCAGGCATGCTGCACCTCCTTACTATTATTGGCTCTTTTATTTAAGCAGTAAAACTGAAATCACTTCCAAACTTTAATAGCAGCTAAAAGAAATACCTAGAGGGTGGGAGTGCTAAAAAGAAAATCATTCTTCCTATTTATTGTAATTTCATATGGAGAAAAACAACTAAGGATTTGAAAGCATATTTGTTGGCAAAAGAATTTGCTAAAGATTGAAAGCATGGTGGGGCTTTTCAGCAAATTCCCTTGCTGATAAATGAACACTAATGCTTAAGCCCTTCTAATGAAGACAAGTTTACCATGGAATAAAGTTGTCAATGATGAGCAGAAAATAGCGCATTTGTAAATACAATGTAATGCAGAATGACAAAGCACATCCAATTTATGCCAAGACGTGCTTGCAGAAGTACGATAAATAATATCTGCATAATCAATGACTGGAAGAAAGACAGACTGAATAAATTGTTTTCTGGCAATTTACAGAAAACAAGCCTAGCACAAAAAAAGACAATTTAACATTAGTCTTTTAACAAGATTGTTTGACAAACACTAAACCCAAACTTACTAATGATTCAAAGGACACAGTATTTATAACTGTCTATTTTCATTAGGGATAGAAAATTTGAATTAGGGCAAGAGCAAAATTCCTGGTTTTTAAGGTAAAAGGCAGAATAAACAATGTAATAATATACATAAAATCCCACATGCATATATATATATATACATATATGTGTGTGCGTGTGTGTGTGTGTGTGTTTTTCCCTGTACCCGAGATTCTTTGGTTTAAAAACACACACAGATTGAGAGGGATGGGAGAGAAAGCTAGAGAAAAATATATTTGAGGCTCATCAATAACTACTAATAATGGGATACTATATGTATTAGAATTACCTTTAGTAGATATGCATTTAATGGTTGGATGCTACACCCCCTGGTCTCAATGGGAAAGTTTTAATTGAATTGCGTGAACTAGCCTTTAAAGAAATTATGGAACTACTTTAAAACTAAATTGAGAAAGTTGTAAATTATATCACCATTCATTGACAGAGCCATTTACTTTATGATGTTAAATATCTCTGTGATGCATGGTTTTAGAAAGCTTCAGTAGCTGTTTAGGATACCAAGAGTACCAAAATGAGCGATAAGCTATTTAATATCCAGATATTAGCTTTGGAGGACCATGTTACTGAACAGAAACAATTACCCTCATGCTTCCATTAACAAAAATAAAACAAAAATTAATGAAAATATATGGGAGCTGACAGTACATAAAACTTTTGCCTGTAAGGATATTCAAATGATTGTTATAATCTGTATAAAACAACTGGATATCCAACTTAAAAAAACATTTAGCAGTTTTTGACCTTCAATCTATGGAGGACTTTAAAATTCAAATAACCACTAGATTTGCTTTCTACATAAAACATTCAATGATGTCTTTAGCACTACAAGCTCTCTTAGTAAATAAAACACTGCTCTTATTTTGGTGTTGTCTCAGCCCTATTAAAATCTCTTTTCATTTATCTATGAAAAAGGTACAGCCAAGTTCCAGCAGGCTAAAGTTTGTTATTTGTTCTATTTATGTGACACAAGCCTAATTTCATCAGCTAAGCAGATGAAAAACAAAAATCAATAGTCAGCAAATTTGATGCTGAGTGGGATGTTTCATTGTGACTGAGAAGAGACTGTGAAATCTGCCTCCTTAAAATTTGCTTCTGACTTTGGGATTTGGCTAGTTGTTTGAACCTACACAGATGGCAGTATCACTTTTTTGGGGACTCCACATCAAATTTTCATCTATTACTGTAAAATGGGCATGTTTCAAGTAACCATATCTTGATTAGCCACAGTCTAATTAATGGAAATATTTAGTTATTAGAGGTCTAACATCTCCCCAGAGGTTTCACTTCAGCCTATAGGTCTTCAGTCGCTGGTCAGGCTTCACTGCCTGAGTGCACAGAATTACTTCCCAAAGCCTTTACACCCATTTCAGGGCATCAAAGCTTCACTGCACAAAGACTTACATAATAAAACCCTGAAAAGCAGTTGCTGCTCCCTCTTCCAGACCCAGGCAGCAGTCACACACAGAGATAGGGCCTAGGAAGGGCCTGAGCACAGACCTCAAAGCAAGTAGAGCAAGTACCCTGTGTTAGCCCCCAGAGAGCCTTTTGGAAAGGCTAGAGAGTGTGTTGAGGTGCTTTGTGTTGGAGAATCTACACCTTACATAAACCATGCATGCGTGAGAAGGTTAAGGACTTTCTACAGGTTGGAAATGGCCACACACTGATCAGATCTCTGAAATGGTAGCTTCACCCATCGCTTAGGAAAATGTGCTGCTAGCAATAAACTAAAAATTCACTTTCTGAATATAATAGACTGAGGTATAAGACAATATAAGTCACTTTTTGAAACAAAATATCCATGGTTAGTTTATTTTTGTGCAATACTGCTTTGGTGTTTAGGATTTTACTAGGTAATATTGATAGGAAAAAGAGTTTCAGCTTCAATGGAAGCCTTACTGCACTCTCCCAAGTACTGCATTTCTTGTGCCGACTAATATGGCATCAAGCCTAAGAAAGTCAAATGGCTTCTGCAGAATGAGATGATCAAACTCTCAAAGAAGCATTGGTAAAATTTTCAGTGTTCTTAGCATTGTAAGCACCAAGTATTTGGTGATACTGTCTACTACACTGCAGTGAACCTATACTTCAGGTGGAAGACAAAGGCACATGGATATTTCTGGGTGGAAAAATCCCTTTATAAAACATGGGGTTTTTACAAGAAAAATACTACATCAATTTCTGATCCCATCTACTTCCTGCCCACAACAGAGCTATCCGAACAAATATTAAAAGAAATAGTTCGTTTTGAGGGCCTAACAGAGCCATTTATTCTCCTGGATCTTGAAAGAAAAAGGTGAGAATCAAGTTGTCATTTGCAAATAAATATATTTACCAGTATTGGTAGATAGGGTTTTTTGTCTAGATGAGGTGCATTTTATAATTGCTAGTAATTTCAAGCTGACAGCACTTAGTCTAAAACACATGAGGAATGGAAATAGTTCTGACTCTAGGATGTTCATGTATGAAATGCCACGTGTACAGGTTTTGCTGATTCCTAGGAGCTTCCTTTTGAACAAATCAGCCATACAATCAATCAGGAGAAGGAAAAGAGGGAAAAGGAGGGTGTTAGACGTTATATTTTGTGAAGTGCTGAAGACAGCATTAGTGTTCTAATCAAGGTTTTTTTTGAAGTTAATAACAAAGCCTAAGAAAAGCAATTAAACATAAGACATGTGAGGAAATAAATGAAAATAAGTGGAGAATTTAAACATTGATCTCCTTTTATGTAATTCTGGTAATGAGTGGTATTTTATCATGTTTTTCTCCACTATAAAGATGCATGACCCAATCGTTCAGAGCTCTATGCTGCCATAAAGATGACCTGTGAAAACTCATGCAAGGGAATTTTAGAGGCAACATAAAAAAAAAAAGAAAAAAAAAATCAGTTTATAGCATGAAGTAGCCAGAATAGCACGAGTGTTAAATAATTGCGCTTGCTAACATGATTTCTTGAGATCACGGTTATCTCCTAGCAGTAACCTGTGAAGTTACTCCCGCAATATAACTTAAAAGAGATATGGTCATCCTAAAATAAAGGGAGCAAAAAATCATGAAATCCACCATCCACCTTTCAGCTCCAATGACTGTAACTGCAATTAGCAGTGGCCATGTTTTAGTGCAGTTTTCTAGGTTCTCTCTCCTGTATGGAAAAGCAGTATGGTAAGAAATGCTGAAAGACACCCTTGAATACCCTTCACCTGATCTGCCTTGCATGTTTCTTACCAGTAGCCAAAGACCTTGGCCATTAAGTTCAAGAGATAAAACCTGCTCAAACTTTAGCATTCCATTTAAAGTTAATTTACCATTGAACTTTTATGGAACTACAAAAGCTTTACTATCTTCATTAAAGCCATCTAGTTTATTGCATACTGAAGCTGCAGCAAGGAGATTCTGGGTTGAATACTTCATTTATGTAATTTTTCTTTTTTATTTTAAAAGAAAAATCTTGGAGAAATTTAGTGAATGCTTTGCTTCAAGAAAGTACTCAAATACTATGAATAGAAAAAGTCTGAGGTAAACTTCCATACAGGTTCTTTGTCAGAGCCTAAAATTAAGAAAACATCTTTCATAGTTTGAGAAAAAGCTGTATAAATATTCCTCTCCATACCTTGTCACTGCAGCATATTCTACCATCCTTGCTGTTTTTCACATTGACCTGCTCACAGACACAATAACGAACTCATTAGCTATATTTTCATTTACTTCTCATGCCTTAGGAGGTGATAGGTCTGGTCCATTAACACAAGGTTCTTCTCTCTGCTGCAATTTGCATGTGGTTAAGAAAGAAAGGTTTAATGTTAATATTTCAGCTAACAAGATATTACAATTTTAAAAACAATTGTGAAAAAAATAACCTCTGACACATCAAAGCAGGGATGTTTTCCACAAGAGAAGAATCCATAATGCATGTAAAAAACTGAAGAGATGCTGGGGATGAAGAGCCTGAAAGATTTGAAGCATTGTTACTGACTGTAGGAACAAGTATTGTCTGACATGGGGACCAGTCCTATCAGCTATTTGGTTTTTCTCATCTCTAGGCAATTTTTCCTTATGTAATATATAATGTATTTCTTTATAATTTTTCTTTACTTTCTAATCCTGAAAAGCAAATCATATGTATAATTTGATTTTTATAAATGAAACAGTACAGAGGAATTTCACTTAGTAATTGTAGACTTTTTAACATGGTGGAAAAAAACAAGGTCTAGAATGTTTTGGTCATTTGTAAAGCAGAACAACATATATTCTCTGGAAAATGAAAACTGAAAGGGTATATTCCCCCACTTTCAGCAACAGAGAGAGAATGAAAAAAGGTATTAGGGTAGGTAGAACCCCAAAAGCTACAAAACGAACATTTATTTTCAAGAACATTATTTGAGACTAGATATAAGACATTTTTTTATGATGAGTGAAACACTGGAACAGGTTGCCCAGTGAGGTGGTAGTGTCCCCTCCCTGGTAACATTCGAGGCCAGGTTAGATGGGGCTTCGAGCAACCTGGTCTAGTGGAAGGTGCCCCTGTCCATGTCAGGAGGGTTGGACTAGATGAGAACTAAAGGTCCCTTTCAGTCCAAGCCATTTCGTGATTCCACCATCGCCTCACTTTTCTTAATGCATGGACATTTCTCCATAGGTTTAGGTAACTCTACAGGAAGAAGGGGCAAACTTGCAGAAGTTAGCTGAAGAATTCATAGCTATTCCTAAGAATGTTGTATACAGACAGACACTGCATGGCCTTAATAAAGAAATCAGCTTATTTAGCCGTATAAAATCTCAAAGCAAGACAGAATTTATTAAGTGTGAAACCATTTTCTTTCTAAACGAGGAGAGGAAATAAAGAGCTCTTTCTCTTTCCTCTAAAAGGCTTTTGAAGTGTTTTCCTGCTTTTGCAGAGTGTGAAAACTTCTGCACAGAGCACACCTAAGTGGGGCAGAAATATGACTGAGATTAATTATTTTTGCCTTTTGCAAACAATCTAGCGCAGTCCTCATGCCATCTAGTCACCACTGTACAAAAGACAGTGCCACTTCTCAATACAGTTTTCTGTTCTTTGAACACGTAGCTCCAACACAGTGGGGCCTGGTAATAAGCACAGCTCCTAGGAGCAACTGCAATATAAATATCAACAGAAGTATATACCTTATTGTACATATAAGAGCCATAACCACATCCAGAGCTTCTCTTTAACTGGTATAGTTTTGCTTGCCCCTTTAAGTGAAGCTACGGCAATTTAAACCGTCTGATAATTTGACCCATCCTCCTAAGTCCTGCCATTGTAAAATAACTTCTCAAAATTATAGCATCAGAAAATGTGATGGTCTGAAAGTACTTCAGCTTTTATTATAATATTTTTAAAATATTAGAAAGGATCTAAGCTTTTAAGAAAAACCAGGTAACAGCCATTTTCTTGTATTATACATTAAATGAATAATGCTCCCAGAAAGTTAAAAATGCTTTTTTTCTCCCACTTACCCTCCTCAACTTTCTAGTTAGCATAATTCATGGAGAAACATTGGGGGTTTTGAAAAATAATGGTTTGAAAATAGATAAAACAAACTGATAAGGGTCAGCTTGAACACAAAACTTGAGATGGTATTTATGTGATTGGATCCCTACACAGATCCCTTTATAGAGCTGTGTCCTCATTGAAAAACAAACATTGGTAGGTTAAGGATCAGAATGGGTGGATATACTCACTGATTTCCCCCAGTCCCTCTCTGGCAGTTTTGTTTCACTGTTGCTCAGGGGGTTCTTGTTTCTGTAGCATCTGATCCTTTCCCCTGTCTCCTAATAACCACGACAGGTATCATTGATATTATCTCCTACCCTATCTCAGTTGTCTTTAGGCTCCAAAACTTTTCATTTCTCATAATGTCACAAGTAAAAACTGAATTTGCCCCATGAATTTCAATGGTAGTTTAAAACACTTTTTTTCTTTTTTTTCTTTTACTGCTAGCGCTTCCGGGATTTTTGCTGTTTGATGTTGAGAAGTATGGACATGTAAAGAAAAGATCAAAGTACACTCCTGGTTAATAAAACTCAGCAAAAGTTACTGCACAAAATGCTGGTAAAATTAGACTTCATCAAAGAATCATGGAAGACTAAGGATCAAGGGGAAACATTAAAAATCACGGTAGAAATATTTTTTAAAAAGCAGGAGGAGGAAGAAAAATTTGGTTTTAGAAGGACAGGAGGGAAAAATGTTATACCTTATTATCTAATTTCTTATTTTTATTTTCACATTGGTTTACAGATAAAGTGTTGGAAGGCAGATTAGAAATTCCATAGGTTAATAACATCGGTAATGATCAATGAGCATATCCTCTGAGTGAAGGTAGAATATTTACATTTGATGTCATAATACTTCATAGTTAAATTAGTTATAAAATATGGAAAAACTATAGTCTTGTTTTCAATAACAAAGGCAACAAGAATTTTACAAAAGACAACCTTTAGGTATAAAAATTTATTTAAAATATTTTATCTACTTTTTATTTAGAAAAGGGAAGGAATGACTTTAAAGTAGCCCATTTTTTCCTTTGTAAGGAAGACAGGTTACATATAAGAATGCAGCTCTGTGTTCCATATTACATTACTGGTACTTTTAATATCTCTAGCATTGTCCATACCATCTGTTTCAAACATCAAGCATTCCTGTAACAGAGATATTATTGACGAATTGAGAGTAACTCTTTGAGAAATAACTCATTACAGAGGACCTCACAGCTAAGACTATATGCCCTATCTGATAAATATGAAATTAAACTTGTAACAGTATAAATTATGGTCAGTCCCTTGTTCTTGCTATAAAGGACCAATCTTTACCAAAGAACACTTAATATTTTCAGTCAGTGAGTTTCACACGTTAACTCTGCTGTATAAAGTGTGGTTCCTCCTATACATTTAAAAGGACACTTTTAATTTGAGTGTGGTTTTGCATCAAAAATAAATGGTTACTTGGGTTAATCTTCCTATGCTTTTACTTACTACAACAAATTCAGTCCTCTAAATAACTAAATATTTTTGTCTGTCTCTCTACAATAACACGGAATGCTACAAATAATTTTTGTCACCTTTCTATCTGGATAATCCAAGTAGGGCAGGGAGTTCAAGGTGAAAACATGACTGATTTTATAAAATTGTTCTATTTCACTACTGTGCTTCCTCCAGCTCTTCATGAGAACTGAACTCTACTGGCTTGGCTGTTACCAGGTGCTGAACAGGTGTTTCATTACACTTGTCCCAAAAGATGTTAATTTTTTCTCCAGAAAAGCGAGACACTGACACTATGGAATAGATTGCATCCGACATGTGGGAGCCTTATTAAACTTTCCCACAGGAAAAGTAAAGAGATGTAGAACAGTGTGGCCCTCCTCCGTAATGATCACAGAGTTCTATTTAAATTGTCCAGTCGGGTCAGGCTACAAAATTTGCATACAAGTGTAGGATGATGGCACCGAGCTTTCCCTGTAGAGTCCTGGAGCAAGGATTCCATGGCATTAAGCACATAAGGATCATCCTCTTCAGATGAGGAATGAGAAAACCACTGGCATTCACTTAGAATGAGTGAAATTTAAAGCCCCACACAGTCCCAACCTTGCCTTTCCAACTACATGTGTGGGAGTTGAAAATAAAAATTTCTTGTCCGGTGACAAATTCATTTTTTCTGACCCTGGAAAAAGTACCCTTTTGGAGTCTAGAACATGCCGGAAAACCAGTCTTTCCCTAGGAAAAGGAGAGCTGTAAGAACAAAGGAGGTATAAGGTAATGTTACTAGCTACTTTTACCATGTCATAGGGGTAAATGTTTCCTAAATTGAGACAGTTAGTTTAGATGGGCAGCGGCAGAGGTAACTATGCTCATTCTTTCATTACATTTTGAACATGTATTTCAATTGCTGTTACTCAAACTCAGAAAGATAGGATGAGGAGGTTCTTTCAGACTGTGCAAGGGAATCACCCAATGTGTGAATTTGTTATTGTCAATAATGGAGATTTAACAAGTGAAAAGAAAATAAAACAATCATGATCTGACTCCCTAAAAATTCATAAAGCACCAACCATCTTTCTAGGAGACATCACTGAGTTAAGGTCACTTTTCACTTTTGGTATCACTGTAGTGGATTCAAAGAATTATCAGTAAGGTTTGCAGAGCTTCCCAGTCACAAGCTATGAAAACAAATTGGTTTCAAGCAATTGAATAACTTCCAATATCAGATTCTATGAGTAGAAATAAACAAACAGAGCCTTGTCCTGATTCCTGGGGAAGAATTGTGTTCAATGGACATTTGGCAATTTGGATTCCAACCCCCTTTTCTTCCTGCTGTGCAGTCACAGGAAAAGTAGAGTATTTTTAACCAGTTAGTCACTAGAAATATTTGAGAAACGGTGTTGTTGAATCTGGTATCTTCTCAAGTAGCTAACTCAGATGGTATTTAATGTCATTCTGTATCTCATCAAATATTTTCTCATGAACTCTCTTGAGTTTTTACTTCCCTTCTTAACCATTTAATGAATTATTTCTCCATTTTTAAATGTGTTTCCATTTTGTTTGCTTCTTTTCAGTTTTTTAATATACAGTGCATTTCACACTCTCTTCCATTTCTTCCATATCCTTCCCTCCTTTTTTTGTCATATTATTTTCCTCCTTTTCCATTCACTATTTCTCTTGCTTTTGTTGATGCTCCACTTCTTTCACTCCATCAATCCATTGATTGACAAGTTGATGTATTGATTGACAAGATGATATATTGATTTGAAAGGATTCTCTGAAATCATTTCAATACCACAGAAACATTCAGATATCCACAAGACATGTTAATTTTCAATCCATTATATTGTCATTGGAATACTGAAATTGCTGGAGTGCAGTGACAATACTCCATTTTGCTTCTTCAGAGAATGTAAGTTTGCCAAATAGGCACAAATTACGTATAGCAGAGTCATGCCCATCAAAATTGCAGTCTGTACTCTGCCCTGCTCAAATTAGAGTCTGCTGCCAGATTGTTTGAAAGAATATACAGGAAAGTACACAGCTGTGGCAGTCTCCAACTAAATGAATAATGCAATATCAACATCTGTAAGATTTTTGAAATGCTAAACATTCAGATATGAAGCCTCTGCCGAGGACACAGATGGTGATACGTTGTTGTTCTTGCAGTAGTTCCACCAGAAATGGACAGAGTTCCATAAACAGACTGGACTGTTAATGCCTGGAACAATCCTTTCATTTAGCAGCACTAGCTCTCAATGCGTCACAGAATGATAAATGCTTGCTTTGTGGATTGCATTTAATTCCAAGCTTTTTTAAGCTAAAGGAATCCGGTAATGAATATGGACATCTTCAGGCATGAACACAGATGCCAATAACAGTTGACAGTACTCAGCAGGTGAATTTAAAGTGACAATCCAAGTTAAGGTAGAATAATTAATATAAATTTTCCATTCAATACAAAAAGCATAGGAGAGTCCTATGTTTACCTCAGGAAACCTCAAACAACTAAGCTAACTTTTGCTAGATGCCCAATAAGATTACTTCATAGGATTATGTGTATTTGTCTGCTTTTTAAAACACATCAGTATGCATTATCCACTAAAAGAATGAAAAGAAATAAACCTTATCTCTGAATACAAGTAAATATATCTGTTCATCATCCAGGGTTTTTAGGACACTGATGGAAGAGAGCATAATATCTTTTAATTTATTCTTCATCTTGCTTTTTTACATCTATAAAAAATGTGTTCCAAAGGCATTCAGCAAATACAAAAAAAAAAAAAAAAAGCACTTTTGTTCAAATTAGAGTCTGTCCCCGGATTCAGAAATAAGCTAAAAGAACTAAGTGGAAAGTCAACACAAAGTTAAGCAGTGTTGAGAGGCAGAGGAATTAAAAGGAGCTAGTGCAGAAAGCAATGACTATATAAAACAAGCCTCTGAGAGAAGGCATGATATCACCAATCAGCTTGTTTGGACAGTTGTAGTCTGAACACTTGATCGCAGACACAACTCATCGTCTTAGCTGGGATAGGCTCACCAGAAAAATCGAGGATTATTTCCTTTGTGCATTGACAGAGCTGAGACACATATATAATAAATGTTAAAAGCTGCACCCAAACCGAAGAAGAATATTTGAAAGCTTAAAAGACAGGGAAAAAGGTCAAGATACTAAGTGAGAAATTCCAGGAAACCTGTCCAGGCAAAGAAGGAAAAGGATGTATCATTTTCAGCAAGGGTTCTTGATTAACCCTATACATAATTCTATAAATTTCAATAACCCCCACTTCACAGTGTGCTTTAATTTTTAGGAAAAGATCAGAACTGCAGCCAAAAAAACCCCAACAAACAGCATTTACCTTTCTTCTTTTAATGCAGGAAACATGATATTCAGAGACAACTACTCACCTCTGCAAGGTTTGGAGTTCATAACCAGTAGGCTCTTTAAGCAACCAGCATCACTTCGCGGGAAAGGGATGAAACATTCTTATTCCTGCAAATGCTCTGTGGCAAAATCTGAAAGGGACAAGGTTTCATGCTTTGTGGTTTCATGCTTTTATCATGACCAAACTACTTACCTTTTCCTCCACATCCTGGCAAGAAAAGGGAGTTGTGCTTCTGCTTTTTACTGACAGAGCTGCCAAGAAAATTAGATTTCTATTTTCCTTTTGGGTAGTTCTTCATAAGTTTGGCTCCTTCGAATGTTAGTCATTGTCCAGCAGAGGGCTGGCTTGGCTCTGGGACTGGTGATGCTACATAGAGCCTGCAGACAACTCTGCCTTTATCCTTTCAGGAGAGAAGGAATTTTTCTATTCCTAAAATCACATTTTGAAAAAAAAACATTAAATTGGTATTAGAAACACTTGGCTGGGGGAGCAGGAGGAAGGCAAGACAGAAAGAAACACGAATAAGAGCAGGAGAAGCACTTCCTAAAGTCAACAAATCCTGAAGGAGCCTGGAGTGGAAGACTCTGGGGGACCAGCAAATGGGCAGTAGTTCAGTGGTTTAATCAGCTCATAATACCCCAGGGGGTGAAAAACTGTGCACAAAGTCCTCAGCTACAGTTTTAAGAGTGAGAAAGTTGCTATAAAAAAGAGCCTCTCAGGTCATACCATTCATTTGCAGGAAAAAAACCATGTACTGTTCTTCCCACAAGAGAAAAAGAAGGATTCATAGCCAAAGAAGAGGCAGACTGTGAACTCTGGGGTCACAGAAGCTGTTGCAGCCAAGATTAAAACTCAATAAGAGTTCTCCTTAAGCATAGAGGCAAAACTCAGGACCTCTGTGCTGCAAACTGAAGAACTTCTGCTACTGAAGTAGCAGATAGGGATAAAACGTCTATGGAAATAGACATGGAATGCATGTCTATGGAAATAGACATAGACTTGCAGTTTGTGTGTATAGCACTGGCCAAGAGTAAGAAAAAAAGAAAAAAAGCTTTAGAAACTTAAAAAAAAATAAGTCAGCTGTAGGATTCATATATTTCTACACAGAAAAAAAAAAGAAAAAAATGTACACCTTGATGCGCAGAACATCAGCATTTTGCACATGCAAGAATCTGAGCTTCAAACCAAACCACGGGGGGCCTCAGTGACTTGCCCAAGGTCAAAATATAAAACCCATGTAAGGCTCTTTGATTGTGATTTGCTTTTTAATATAGAGAAAGCTCACATGCTGAGGGAACTGAAACACTTTGCAGGCAAACAAGTGCTCCATCTACCTAATTTACTATTCATATATACTCTAAAGAATCTGATCCCAGTAGATGTTTGTTCACATCACAAAGCTACCACATACTTTGAAATAATCTGTTAGAGTTGGAAGACTCTGTAGAGGAAAGACCCAGAAACCCAGAACTGAAACAGAAGACGTGTTACAAAGCAGGATCAAAGGCTATGCTGACATGCATTCAGGAACCCAAGATAATGTTTCTATGCTCTCTGAAAAGCTTGAATCCAGGCTATCTTATGTTAATATTCATATGTAAAGTGTTTATCAAAACCTTAATAATGGCATTAATATGGTAATACAACCTCTGCGCTCCAGTGAAACTTTTACAATTGGTAAGGATTCTCATTTTTTCCCCTTAGAAATCTTCCTGATTTAACCACATCTTCTTCTATTGCTGAATTGCTTAAGAAACTCCAGATACGTATTCAAGCACATTACTATAATAGCTATAAAATCTGCTATGATACACTCAGGCCAGTAAGAACCTCACTGCTACAAAGCTTCCTGCAAATATCTGAGCTAAACACAGAAATGCCCTCGGATACTCTTATTTTTAGCTATATATAGTTAACTTCAGCTGAACAGTCACTGGAACAAGATTCAAAATTATATATGTTGTGAAATACTTTGCTCATGGTCAGCAGCCTTGCTGCTGAAGCAGTGTCTTTCTGTAGTATGTGTCCTAACATGTGTAGAGTTCATAAATGTTATCTGTTTCCTAAGAACACAAAACTACAGGATGTTGCATCTCATTTGTCTGTCAGTGTCTGCTTTCTGCTGTACATTTACCACCCACATTAATTAATAATACTTGAGAGTAGAGAATATAAGCACTTTTCCATGACATCTTAATGCTAAACAGTCTGTTAAGTGTGGTGTTCTGACCAATGCAGAATGCCTTTATCTTTACATACACACCTACCTACATATCTAAGTATATTTTTATTTCCATAAGAGAAGCACCATTGTAAATTAGGAAGCTGGTCTATAACTGATACTACTGATTACCAATGCAAAGCCTCAGAACAAAGGATCTGTTTGGAAGATTATTATTTGTAGACCTAAGATCTTAGGAGTGTTTCAGTATGTTGAAGAACCTCATAGAGTAAGAACAAAATGTCTTATGAAACTTTAAATTATGCAAAATACCGAGATGTATTATATGAGGCATTTTAAATAAGGGCAGAATAAAAGCTAAATACTTGTGAACTGTCTCAGAAAAATTAATCCTTCTTAATTCATGCACCATTACTAGACTCTGATATTAAAATGCTTCCTGCCTTTAGGCTGATGTGATTATAATTATTCACTTGTTTTAATTCATATTTTATGTACTGTATGTATTTTTATGCAGCACCAATTGTGGTGGCATTCAACAATTAAAAACAAGCATAAATTAATCTCTCATTTGCAGGCAAACATCTTCAATTAATGAACTAAAGGACTTTTACAATTTTTAATTAAAGTTCTGAATACACCAATATATCTCATATAAATCTTATGAAATCTGAACTTTTTGAGAGGACCTTTTTAACAGCACTTTGGAGGTCATTTTATCCCTCTTGCAAAAATAAGAGCCTAAGCTTTCTCTCTACCTGACTACTACTGTGTGCCCCAGGACCAGGTAATATCCTCTCAGCACCATTTGAGCAGTAGTCAGTGTATTGGCTTCTAGCCTCCAAAGAGTTATGTTTCATTTTTTAGCACTCACTCTCTGAATGACCCTGGGAACAAAAACTGGTATTTTGTGTACAGTTTCTTTGTCTCACAGAGGTGCCACAGTGAGGGAGTCAGGGAGTCAGTGAGACTATTTTACTATGTAGAAATTGTAATGTCTTTTCCATAAATGTTATTACAATCATTTTGGCGGGGTTCATCCTCAAACAGTGTCCCGGAACCTGGATTCAAAGGTGCTATTTTGAGTATAGATCCACAGAACAAATGAGAATTTGGGGCAAAACCCCCAGGTTTCTCTCTGGGATGGGATGACTCTAAGAACATCCTTCATAATTATTAGGCTTTTGCAGTTCTTGAAGAAGAAACAGTGTGTGGTGATTATTGCCAGTAAACTTAGAATGTCACTACAACCAGCAGCCCAGCAGGCTTTTTCTTGTAGCCACATGCATGATGGCAGCTGAAAGAAGACTCTAGGATATATAAATCTCCCAAGCAGTCATGCTCCCAGATGCAACACAGGAGGAACTCAAAAAAGAACATACAATGAATACATTGAAGTGGAAACCTTAGAATTCAGAGCTCATGGCAAACATGCCCTTAAGAAGAGAAAAAAATTTAGAAACACAGAGACATTTCTAACTGATGCAAGTTTCATAAAAATCTTCTTTCTTTAGACCTAATTTTGTACCATATCAGCCCCAAGTCATCTCTTACAATCCCAAGAATGTAAGAGATTGTGGCAAAGGTCCAGCACCCAAATAGTTGGGTGCTAAACTGACAAGTGGTTGAACATTAAAAATCGAAATTTACTTGGCACTGACCACCACTTTTTATGGCATAAGTAGTCACTTGCTGTACAGATAGAAACATCATTCTATTGACTGGTGAAGATCAGATTATTGATATTTAATGTGAATACTACCCATGATTATGCTGCACTGCATAACCTGTACTACAGACTGAAGTCCTAAAATGTATTCATAACTTAGTTACAGTGGGAGTCTGAGACTAAAATAAAATTATACATAATATTGTATAAGTATTAAGATTCAATTATACAGTAGAAAAGTACATGTATATAGTACTGATATTTTTGAAAAATAATAGTAAAACGTATTTTTTAAAGGTCCTTATGGACTTTGACAAAGCTGCTCTCTGCCTTTAGATGTAGAATGGCATTTTTACCATCACCTTTTTTAGGTTAGGAATATTCATGTTGAAAAGACTGAGAGCACTACCCATCAACACTTAGATTTGAAAGACGGATGAGGACGATATCTCTATTAAACTCCTCCTCAAAGGATCTAAGAACACATTTAAAATTTTAGAAATAGAGCTACTACTTGCAAACCTACTTATAGATTTATCCTATATATCATGAAATATGTTGTCCCTCTTCTAAATCATCAGTAGAAAATGTAATCAAAGATTTACCATCTTTCTTGGGATAGCCAATTAGAATATTTTTTGTAATTAATTCTTACACTACCTCTTGATTACTCCCTACACAAATGCATATATGTGTATGCTTCTATAAAGATGAGTTGTTGTACATAAAGGACAATTGTATTCTTTTAATCATAACCAGCCTAAAACTTATGGGCAAAAAAAAATTGTGCAATAAAGAGCCGTGTATTTCCCTCTCCAGTGAAATTCTGTGTCTCTCTGCCCCATCAAAAAGGAACTACCATGTGTAGCAGAAGACTCTTGGAAATTAAATAAATTGTGTCATGCAGAGGAAATAAAACCAAACAGTTCCATAGCACAACTTAGTGAAATGATGATAAAGGCAGATTTCACAGTGCTTCCATCTGTCATATAGTTGTCATATGTTCATTTTAATATATGTGCCATCCTGAATTATGTGATACTCTATAAATCTTTAAAAGTTACAGAAAAAACCTATGCTTCTACTGATTTGAATTTGAAGGGGACGTGCATATGTACTCATACATCCAGTGCTAAAAGACAAAGGTTATATTGCAAACTTAAACAATCAAATACTGATAAATGCCAAAAATATTTCCATTTAGAATTCTTGACTATAAAACAGTGTTTAATTCCATTTTCACTTTATTAACTAGAGCCTCTTAAAACCTTACTTGCTG